TTCAATCTTCTCTCCATTTATTGTGATGCTGCTTATCAGTCCAGTTGTGAGGATTTTAATTTTCTTTCTATTGAGGTGTAATCTATATTGTGGACAATAGTCTTTAATTTTCATCAGTAAGTGCTTCAAATAATCCTCAATTTCAGCAAGCAAGGTTGTGTCATCTGCATATCACAGGTCATTAATGACTCTTCCACCAATTCTGATGCCATTGTTCTTCTTCATATAGTCTAGCTTCTCAGATGATTTGCTCAGCATACAGATTGAATAAGTATGGTGAAAGCATACAACCCTGACTCACTCCCTTCCTGATTTTAAACCACGCAGTACCCCCTTGTTCTATTTGAACAATAGCCTCCTGGTCTATGTACAGGTTCCTCACGAGCACAATTAAGTGTTCTGGAATTCCCTTTCTTCTCAATGTTATCCAGAAGTTGTTATGATCCACACAGTTGAATGCCTTTGCATAGTCAATAAAACACAAGTAAACATCTTTCTGATATTCTTTGCTTTCAGCTAAGATTCGTCTGACACCAGCAGTGATATCCCTTATCCCATATCCTTTTCTACATCCAGCTTGCATTTCTGGAAGTTCCCTGTCAATATACTGCTGTAATACTTTTTGAATTATTTTCAGCAAGATTTTACTTGTGTATGATATTAATGATATTGGGTAGGGTGGTCTAAGGAGGTAAATCACTAACTTGTTAGTAGACATGTTTTAACTTGGATGAAGGGAAAGGAAATAAACAATAAGGGCACAAAATGACCAAGGCAGAGCAAGACACAGAGAGGAGCACAAGAGTTAAAGGCAACAAAGTTAAATACTATTACACACATAAACCTTCAATAATAATAATAACAATAATGTACAAGTGGATACATAAACATTCAAGCTGAACTGGGGGTGGGAAGGTGATTAGGATTGTTGTTGTTGTTATGTGCCGTTGAGTCAGACCTGACTCATAGCAACCCTTCCTTGGGGTTCCAAGGCAGTATCACTACAGAAGTAGAGTGCCCAACCTTCCTTCTGAGGAGTGGCTGGTGGATTTGACCTGCCAGCCTTCTGGTTAGCAGTCAAGTGCCTTAGGCACTATGTTACCAGAGTTCCTGTGATTAGGATTACACCCATGAATATATATGGGTTTGAAAGAGGATTATTTCTAAATATGTATTTATATGTGCTGCAAATATATCCAGGAGTATGGTAGAGCATTTGGGGGGCAAAGTTATGAAATCTACTTAGTTATAACCAAACACTCTGAGGGAATTATTCACTGGATAGAGGGGCTCAGGAGCATTGTCTTGGGGGATATTAAGGTGAATTGGCATAACATAGTCTACAAAGACAATGTTCTACATCCTACTTTGGTGAGTAGGGACTGGGGTTTTAAAAGCCTGTGAGCAGCTATCAAATATGCAATTATTGGGCTCTCCTTATCCTTAGCAAAGAAGAGTGAAAAAAATTAAAGACACAAGGAAACGATCAGTCCAAGAGACTGATGGACCACATGGCCCCCAGCCTCCACAACCCAGGGTCCAAAGGATCTAGATGGTGCCAGGCTACCACTGCTGACCATTCTGAAAGGGATCACAATAGAAGTTCTTGCACTGAGTGGGAGAAAAATGTGGAACAAAACTCAAAATCATAAAAAAAGGCTTACTGGTCTGATAGAGACTGGTGACACCCTCTAGATTATGGCCCTTAGACACCCCTCAAGCCTGTAATGGAACTCATACCCATGGCTCATCTTTCAGCCAAACGATGGATAGACCTATAAAGTGAACAATAAGACCAGGGAGGTATGCATTCCATAGAACAATGAAACATATGAGATCAAAAGGGTAGCATTTGCCCAGAGATAAAGGTAAGAAGGTAGGAAAGGATAGCAAAGAAGGATGAAAGGAAATGGTAAATACAAGGAAGAAGTGGGAAGAGTGCTGTTAAATTGTAGAGATTGTGATGAATGTGACAAAATAAAATGTGTATGAATTTTTGAATGGAAAACCATTTTGCTCTATAAACTTTCACCCAAACCACAAAATAAATAAATAAATACAACTTAGGAAATAGCATTTCACATTGGACTAATATGTGATACGTATTATAATCAAAATTGGATTTGCCACTTCAAGACATGGTCCAATATCAACTTTTGATAGTTATAATTACTTACCTGGACCCAATAGGTATTAACCAGAACTTCTTGTTATTTCCAAACACCTGCTGGATATTTTTGATGAAGCCAAGGTTGAATCCATTTTTCTCTGGGCCACTTGTAAACACTGGAGTGCAGAAGGCCTCTTAGGCAGGGCAGAGGATTTGAAAGAAAGAGGACGAAAGCAACAAAGGAACAAATTTCAGGACAGTTATGAT